AATCACTGCGGTCAAGTATATTCGGTGCTGCGTATGGCAACACCTACGAAACGACATATTATTATTATTATTGTCTTGGGGCCCGACGATGGTGGCAATCAGAGGGTATAATGTAAGAGTGGTTGACATCATCTGCAGCGCAGGGTATGCACATCGATCATTCCCCACGGTCGTTCTTTTTGTATCCATACTTGGAATATTGATAGGTAGTTACCCCATTTCCCGGGGCCGCTTCGACGGGTGTCAACTCATACCCTACACTCGCCTTGTGTTTTCCCGGCTCAGTCGAAAGTTTTCCGCGATAGGAATCACAGCCAGTCCACAATAACCAACACGCCGCACAATAAACGCCAGACATATTATGGGCCAAAGGGTCCGGACCAAATGATGGCTACGACGAAATACGTCTTATTGTTGATCGTTTTTGGGTCACGAAATGCAATTCAAGGTCCATTGTAATAACCTATATAGTCTCACTCACTTAGACCGAAATTGCACCACACGAGTGAGCGATAGTCAACCATAATATAATAGCTTATACTATTATTAAATAATATAAAATCGTATGTTACGAGTACAATCTACACGCATTTATATAATGTGTATAAGTTGGTTAGAGAATTAATGTATTGTGTTAAGTTTTTTTTTTTACAACTTGAAGTAGTTAGGTTATGGTTTGGTTTCAATTAGGTCGAAAAATGACAACTACAAGATGTTGAGTTATAACTTTAGAACTATCTAGAATACAATATAATCTACCTAAGAGTATGTGTCACTAAAGATACTATGTCACTAATTACCAGAGTTACCTGGATTAAAATCACCATTTATATTCACGTGTATAGTAATGATACAAAACTTATGATACTGACAGAAGATGATGATAAATTTTCAAATCTTATCGTTATGGTATACCATAATTGTAGGGCTGTTACATTTATATAAAATTTGAAAAAAAAATCAGAGATGGTAGCTCTGCTATACCACGTAGTTTCGAAAACTGGGTACACTCTTCAGTTACCTACATTACTCAGTACTCTATGCATATTTTATAATTCTGTCTGTGGGAGATCGTTGAACTAACAGCCTAGTTTCACATGTCCTGAAAACAGATTCCAAAAATATGTATAAATTAGGTACTAAATTATATGCGTAGCTTAATTATACAGTGAACCCTGTTTTCGAGGATATACGGTATAGTAGGTTTTGAGTGTACCTCGTTATTGAATAAGTCACCAGAATTAATGTATTCAATCAATTGGTTTAAATTATGAATCAATGTATATAAAAAAATAGGTAGCTGTTGGATCAGAGTCTATTTCCGAGGAAACATTATATTATGAGATGTTATATTATATATGCTCATTGTTAGTTTTTCCCAATTGTTAAGAAAAGTTTAATAGTACTAACTATTAAGTAAGCTTTAGTAAGCTTTAGTACTAGAAACGACCTTAAATATTAAAAATTAAAGATCATATTCCACTCCAAAAGTAGATAACAGACATAAAAAAAAAAAATAGTAAAAAAATCTTTGTAAAACCGATATTATTCTTGTGTCACTCAGAACTTAAAAATTGGTTTTATAAAAGGTATTATAAAAGTATCAACAAACGTATTCATTAAATTTAAATTAAACAATGTTAAAGATCATAAATTAAATTTATACCATCTACCTATTAAGTATTTTTACATAGTATTAATTGTTTTATTTAATTAAAAATGGTTATGAATTAATATTTCTGGTAATAGAATAAGTTGTAATGGATGGTAAACTACAATTAGGTATTCTATGAAAAAGGTTTTTTCTATATGAGAAATCCAATACTTACAAATTGTAATAGTTGTCTAAATGTAAAGTTAAACAAAAGTTACCAAGTACTTGAAAATAAGCCCATGTAGATAACAAATTCATATTATATACAATTCATATTCTCAAGGTAATATTACAAATTATAATATTACATTTACAAAGCATGAATAAATTATAAATTTGTCTGTATTATAGAATATGATATTTAAATAAAAATTGTGAAATCATTTTGAACTATATGAATTGTAGATAGTCAAATTATATGTATATATATATCAATTTATTGTATGTATTTACAAACGTAATTTACCTATTTATATTAATTAACACTATTTTGATTAAATAAATGAATTAATTTTTTCTTAAAACATGGTTGAGCTCTGTTACAGGTCTGACGTTTGTTCACTCTGTAATGTTATCGTATGCCTATGACATTTCGACGATTGCAATCAATTTCTCTATCATTTTCATTTTACAATTCTTAATTTAATTAAAAATGAAAAGCGTCGTTCAAATAAAAATAATTATACTACATTTAATTTTCATTTTTTTTTATTTCTGTTTATTTTATTTCTTTTTATTTCATATTGAATTAATTTTCCGAACATGGCGAATGAATAGGAAATTTATAAGCAAATTATGTGTGATATTACGGGGGTCTTGGATTTTTGTAGGTGTGTATGAACTATTATTTTGCTTATTGCTCATTGGTTTGCTATTTAATTTGCAAGAACGTTTTATCTCGTTGAAAAAATATTGTTAAGTTGAGATTGAATTTTATAAATTGGTCATTTCAATACATAGATTTTATATTTTAATATAATATTTTAAGCCAAACGGTAAACAACAAGTTCAAATTAGGTTTATATATTTTTAATATACTATTTAATTAGACCTCATAAGTAATAACACAATATTTTATGTTGGTGTATTTAGATTTATTTAACAGGCAAATGTAGCAACTCGTTACTATAAGGAAGTTCGATGGTAGGTACATCGATTGAAAAAAATCTATTATTTTTATGTTTTGTAAATTATGGTTTTGGATGACCTCCATTATTTACAATACAATTATTCCCTTATATCTACTCTCAATTATAGTGTTAATCTACCACGCTGCTTCTAAGACTAGTATCACCGTATTATTATCGACACGCAATTGATAGGTTTGTAATGATTTAAGTGAATAGTAAATGAGAAGTGGGCGTCTCTAGTAAACCGATTTTATTTGTGCAGTAATCCGATTATCTTTTTCATATTATATTGTGTGATACGGCCTATTATATTGAGGTCATTTTATCTGCAGTAAATATATCGGAAAATATAAGTCTAACTTATATCACTAATGTAAAATTGTACTAAAATTGCAGTCGGTAATCTAGAAAATTTAACCGAAGTTACCAGCATTATTAATTCCGTAATGACTTTAATTTTTACTCAGTAAAATCATTGGAAGTACCTACTCATAATAATATAACTTATCGAATTTACATTTAATATAATATCAAAACAAGAATGCTATTTAGTATAATATTTCATTTAGGCTTAACTTTTTTATATTTATTATATTTTATTTTTCTAATAATTCTCATAATTATAGTTTGCATTCTTAAAATATAACGATTGAATAGGTACCGAGGTTTCATAACAGTATAATAAATATTTAAAAAAAAAGTATTTACTAAACAAAAACAATTATAATTTTAGAAATTTGATTGTACTAACATAATTTCAAGCCATTTTACATAATAATATAATGTACCTATTGATATAATTAAAGTATTATTTTCTATTAAGGCGTACTTAGAATCGTTACCAAAAGACTAAGTAATAAAATATAATCAATTATACATTACGTTAATGTAAAAGTAATGATTGATTATTATTATACGGTAAGTACTTACTTAATAGTTGTTAATTGTAGGTGTAGCTTAAACGACATTGAAATATATTACGCTTAAATTCTCTACATTTTTTGGATAAATTATATACAAAAAGCGTATAAACACATTTGTTACAAAATGAGATTTTAAATTATTATTGTCAAATGGAATAAATAAGTAAGTAAGTATACTTTACGTGGAAATAATAATAAATATAAAATATTAACTTTATATTTTAAGACTTGCAAGACATGAATGGTCTTACATATTATTTATTCAATACGTAATAATATTATGATGAAACCCATTAAGATAAGTAACTGATATTATGTATAGTTGATGTACTGCTGGATCTTCAACCTTTTAAGACTATTAAACATATTATTATGGTGGAACATTTGTTTTCAAATTCATATTTCAATTTTAAAACGTATATAATTTTAATATTCAAATTCAAATTAAGTGATTCTATACAAACCTATTATAGCAGACAAACTCTGTATAAATATTCAATTTATAATATAATTTATTTTAAGTAGGTAAAAAAAAAAATACTTGTTAGAATTCAAATATTTTTTTCAGTGTTGAAATAAACAATACGTTCAACTCAATAAACGTCGGTAATAATATTATGTATCTAATGAAAACGTTCAATCAAATTCGCTGTATAAATACAAACAAGAGAGATTTGCACAAATGCACAATAATCAATAAAATATAAATAAAAGTAAAAATAAATCGTGTTATCATACAAAAACATGACGTTGTATTTTGTGATTTTTTCCATAATTCCCTGACCAATGACAAAACAATTTGCCTAACAGTTAGAATTAAATAATATCAAGTTATCCTTAAGTAATGAATCAAATATCAAAAGTATCGTTCAAGCGTAGTGCGACGTTATATTTATTGGTTTCAGAACAATATGTCTTTGACAAAGAAATGCTCAAAGGTTTGTGTTAACTGGCATGGTACGCAAACGATTCCACGAGGGAAAAAAAATCAGAAAGAGCCGAGTTAAATTCGACAGCTGACAGGATTAAACTTCAATCCCTCTTAACTTGGCAGTAAAACATTGTTTTATACTATAAATATATTTCAACTACACGCGTATTATATTTTAATCTCAACAAAAAATAAACCGCGAGAGAGGGGAAAAAATTGCCCCGGATTGTTTTTGTTTATTAATGTAAATGTAATTTTCAAAACGATTTTAATTGGACAGCCGACTGCGCTACGTCGTCGATAGCAAAGGGAATTCGTCGTCTCATGATGCACTTAAATTTATTCTACAAAAAAAAACTCACTCTTCTCTTGGACTTGATGTGCTCCAACTGCCTCTGTGTGCATTCTCCGATGCTCTGACTTCCCCACAGCTCGTGTCCGATCATAGCGTAGGTGAAACCCATCAATCCAATGGGAATGAAATACGTAATTATCATGAACGAAACGTTATAGCTGAAATTAAATTAAAATATAATATTATGTAAACAAACAAACTAAAAATATTTTGTGTAATTATTATAATAATTTTCATGCATATATTACATAGAAGTACCTATTACCTGTGTACATAAAAGAAAATATAACTTTTGTATTATACGCCTATATAGACTATATAATATGCTTTTATAGTATTCTTTCAAGTTTCAACTGCGTTTACGGACAATTTTATATAATAATAATTTTCAACTGGAAAACATAATAATATATTGTGTCATAGTTATACTTTAGTTTTATTTTTCTGTATTTGATAACGTTTGAAAGTAAAAGTTTTATAATATGTACGTTGAATGTTTTTATATTGTTGTGCGTTTATGTCCATTAATCATACCTCAAGATCAAATTTATTTATTTTCTTTGTTTTTTGTTTTTTTTTTTTTTATATTTCCGTTTTGTCTTTTTATTTCATGAGCATTTCATGACAATAAATTCAAGAATCCCTTGTTCATTCACAATAAACGGTTTTAGTAATCAGACGCCTTTGAGTTTGATATATAATTATGAAATGGAACATTAATCTTCAACTTTTATATTCATCTAAGCGGTTTAGTTGTATGTGTGTAATACAAATACATTTTGAAATTCAATATAAATATTAGAAACTACTCTTTTGTTTCACAAAACAAATATATCACAGATAATCTAATATAAAGTTTTAAACATCCAATCGTGTCTCATTTAAAATACAAAAAAAAAACAACCCACAGACATTTACCATAGATTTACAATCGATTTATACAATATTTGCTGAAAAGTAAGGTAGGTTCCTTCGTAATTAAGTCTTGTGTCGTAATTATGTCATACGAGGTTTTTTTAAATTTTTATCGGTCTATATGGCTATTGGCAATTATGGCCATTAGCTCAACGTTTAATTTATTTTATACAATTAGGTACCAATATATAAGACAAACAATATCGTTTTGAGCAAGTGTATTACAATGAAATCATTGTACATAAATATAAAATAGTACTTTAATAAGATTATGATAATACGTATTTGAATTACATCGTGTGCGGCGTGTCGTTTAAATCTTGATAAAAAGAGTAGGTAAAATCATGTTTTGTTATTTAATTATTAAGGATTATTATTTACGTAGAACAATGTGTTTTTACCTTTGTTATATTGTTAATATTAAAACAGTATTGATTTAATAACAATATACAAGACATATTATTGAATATTGATGGTATTTTTGTTATTGAATTGGAAAATTAAAAATATTATAAAAGGTGATAAAGCAATAATTATTACCTACCTACCTATATGGTTAATTAATTTATTGGAACCACAAAGATAAAAATATAGAGCAATTAATCTTCTTCATAAATCTTCGGTGACACAATATTTTTTAATCGATCATTCAATTGTTATTCATATTTATTGATATTTAATTTTTGGTATCTCTTAATATTGATTCAACTCGGTTTTTTCGATGACCGCACACAATAATATTAAAAAAACCAACTTGAACTACAGACACAAATAAACTGTTTGTCAAAATCCACCATAAATAAAACAAAACAATATAGATTATACAACACTAACAATTTTTTTTTTTTAATACGACGGGGAAGTTGAATCCACTCTTCGCTCGGATGTACAGTATAGGTGTGGAGTGTACCGTGTACCTATTGTCATTGAGGTAGTTACTGTAATGTATGTGTTGAATTTGAATTAAATAATAAGTCACTGTACACGAAATATAACTCTAAGCTAAGACAGCCTGTCTCTACGAAATATATTTTATGATATCAAAAAATTGCTACTATAGAAATGTATTTTACCACCAGTAATGCAGTACTTTAAATTCATTTTTGTCGAATACATTGAATTTATTGTAATATTATTATTATTTAATTACCTATTATAACCGTAGTGTATAATATAATTGTTATAAACTTAATGAGTCTATACCCAAACCCAGATTAAGACATTTTGAGGCCCAGGGGCCAAAGTCTTAAATAAGGCCCCTGTACGAAAAAATACAAATAATATTTATATTATTTAATATTAGGTACCTGTTATAATAAATATATATATAGGTATTAAGTACATAGCAATAAATAATGAATAATGTATCACTTTATTTATAAATTATAATTTACAGAGTTTTTTCCTCGCTAAATAACCATCAATTTTTTTTAGGTGATTTATGCACCGTTATAGCCTATGACGAAAACGTAATGGACAAATCAGAGGCACCCAAATAAATTTTAACCATCCAGGCCCGAGGTCATGCCCCCCTGGACCCCCAATTAATCCGGGCTTGTCTATGCAGCAAGAACAGTATGAACAGGTTCATGGTATAAACAGGTTATGGCTACTGTATTTACTTAGAATTAATCTAAATGTTTTGAAAACTTAATAGTGTATAAAATGAATTATAATAATATACGTAATCGTTTCAAGTCCCTATGAATAATATTTTTGAATTGCAACAAAGTGGTAACTAAAATCGTCATGCCACTGTTTGAAATAGACTTTAAGTAAAACATAATATTATGTTTGTTAATTTTTTTCAATGTCTGCTCGAATACAAGCTTCAATGTAATATCTTTTACACGATAATACGAGTATGTCATCGTATTATTATAATTAAGACCGTTACATTTTTTATAATATAAGTTATAACATGGCAGTTCCATTATGAAACGGAAATTTAAAAATTAGTAGACTCGTATGTCGTTTAATATTTAACTGATACGTATGTAAACAATACGATATATTAAGTATATATTTTCATGTTTATATTATGATGTATAAAAATTGTGTACCCTAAATTATCCATGTAAAATCCGAACAAAATGATTGATCGATCAAACAGTTTTATACTACCGTAGTTGGAACGGTACCTATTATCAAAGGACTTGTGTTATTTTAAAATAGTATTTATACAAAAGGTCACTCTGCAAACATGATTGCACACTTGTTGATTTTTTTTGATTTTTTTTTTTTGAGGTAAAATAATGTTTGATATTTACTCTTTTGAAAATATTCAACTATACAACATTCAGTTGAAAACTACAATTTCCTGTACGATTCTAAAAATAAACTAGATTTTTCAAAATCAAACCAATGTCGTATTATTCTTTTGGTCTGAATTTCAGAACATTATTTTCTTAGACAACGAGACCGCCAACTGTGACATAGGATTTCCATCGATATATACTCGCGGTAATTCGAGTTCGATGTTCACATCCTCCTATTTTTAACCTGACAGTTGCAGTATATATCTATTTCGATTTATTACGTATCCTGGGCATAGGCTTTAGAAAATATAAGTTCACAATGAATCATTCTGTCATCTGCGTTTAACCAATGTGAAAGTCGGTATAATTCTCTGTCTAAAATTTAAAAATATTTTGTTCTTTTTTTTTTAGTTATAATATCCAAAAGCCATTACCGAGATTATAATATAGGCACGGTTTATGATTTATAGCATCGTCATTGGTTCAAATAATAGGTACGCTATTTGATATTTATACATACACTATTATTATTATTGGTTGAACTTTCTTGCATATTTATAGTGAAACTTATATTAATTATAAACGCAATAATAATTATCGCTGTTCAAATCGCGTCGACAATGTGAAATATGTTTTAAACTTTAAAGATTTACTGTTATTAGTTTCGAAATTTATTTTTCCCAGTCTATAAATGTATGTACAATATTATATTATTTATAGTTTTGCAAGTTTTTTTAAAAACATTTTATAATAATAATAATATGTAATACGTTTTAAGTATTTTTGCGAAAATTATACATATTATTATATAAAAAATAGTTGGCCTGAAAAATGTATTAATTTAACAAAACTTTTGTCATCGTTTGGCTAATGTGCAGAGCATATAAATTATGAGAATTACGCTTATGTAAAAATTAGAAAATATAAATTGAGTACTTATATTATATTTATTTTTAAAATATTCTATACATTATAATATTATGAATATTTTCAATTGTCAACTTGTCTTATACCCTAACCTAAATAATGGCTGAAAATTTGACTTCAGCATAATATAATCATGTGTATGACGTATTTTGTATGTCAAAGGTCTAACTTACAAAAATATTATACCTAATTTGACCTTTAAATAATAATTGTAACGTTCAAATCAGAACGAGTTCGACGTATTGCAATTAATACGTTCAACACATATTTTCATTACGTTATTATTACTATATTATTTTATTAATAAAATTAACTTTTCGTCGCCACAACATTATGAAATAAGAACGGTTCAAGTACATCTCCCATTGACAAAATATCTATTTCCTCTCCTTCTGACATTATTTCCAACCTCCTGGACACGAAGAAATGTTTCGGCCTACAATAATATTAACAAAAAACTTTATATTCGCATGTAGCAAAGTCCAAACCACAAAGGTTGATTGAGTCCAACATGGAGAAGATGACCCCATCACATGGCATAGAGTGTCAGCTAGCGAATATGAAAATTCGTTTTCTGAAACGCCTGAGGTAATGTGTGTAATTTTTGTTCTATATATCTAGCTTGTGTTTGTTATTTGTATTATAATTTATAATTATTTGCATAATAATATTATATTAATTTTTCCCATATTACGACCATACTTCGAATGACCATTATTATATATTTTTTTAAATATTATTCCACGATGAAATACCTCCACAGGGTGGATTCTACGCTCCGTCATTCCATGTCATATTTTATTTTTATTTATTACCATATTTTAAGCTTATTGTTCAAATATGTAACAGATGGTCTAATAAAAGAATTTTGAGAAAAAATAATTATAATATGTAATGAAAACTCGGCTTCTACGAGGGTCTGAGCAGCTTCGTAAAGTTTTGTTTCTCTTATTATTATTATTGTTATCATCATCATTGGTATGAGTCTTATACATGCATAATATATGCCAGGGTACTATTATATAAAATATATTTGTGTCAGTAAGAACAAATTGTTC